CTATCAAGCATAACCCAAAATGTACAAACAGCAGAAGAGAAACTAGATGAATGGGACCTTCTAAAAATCAAATTTTTATGTGCTTCCAAAGACTTCTCCAGAAGAGTCAAAAGAGAACCTACAGATGGGAAAAAATATTGGGCAATGACGTATCCGTCAAGGGACTTAGTTCTAAAATTTATAGAAAACTCGAACACCTTAACAACAAAAAGACAAATAATCCAATTACAAAATGGGCAGAAGACATGACTAGACACTTCACCAAGGAGGATATTCAGGCAGCCAACAAACACATATGGAAATGTTCAAGATCATTAGCCATTAGGGAGATGGAAATCAAAGTAACAATGAGATACTATCTTGTCCCAGCACTAGTAGCAAAGTTCAACAAGACAGAAAATAAAAATGCTGGCAAGGATAAGAGACTGGGACTCTCATACACTGTTGGTGGGACTGTAAAATGATACAACTACTATGGAAAGCAGTATGGGGATTCATCAAAAAGTTGGAATTAGAAATATCATTTGACCCAGCTATTCCATTACTAGTTATATATCCTAAAGAAGTGAGAGCCAGGACAAAATATATGCACATCTATGTTCATTGTAGCACTATTTACAATAGCAAAAAGATGGAAACAACCTAGGTGTCCATCAACTGAAGAATGGATAACCAAACTATGGTACATACACACAATGGAATACTATATAACCCTAAAGAATAATGTAGAATCTGCAAAACACCACATAATATGGATGAATTTGGAGGACATTATGCTGAGTGAAATAAGTCAATCACAGAAGGACAAATATTGTATTATTCCATTATTATAAAAAGTTAAGGAAAGGTTTCTATATGGAAGGAAATTTTCTTTGTTGGTTACCAGGGGTGGGAGCGGAGGAGAGGGAACACTGCTAGATAGCTAGAAACAAGTTATTGATTTGGGTGAAGAGAAAGGCAATATATCAAATGTGAGTGATCAACACGGTGGCACTGAGAAAGAAGAAGACACAGAGAGGTGCATGGGAGGTAAAGACAACAAAGATGAGCCCTTTTGCACATACAGTACAGCATTGTCAGTGACAGCAAACATTGATATATGGGTGGATAGATGGGTGGACAGGGTGAACGATTAGGTATTTCTATTCAGGGGGAGTGTGCCCATGACCATGTATAGGGTTAGCAGACAATGTTTCTATAAATGTATTTATATGTTCTGTAAGAATTTCCAGATAGAGCTGACAAGGGACAAAGTTGTAGTCACTCCTTGGCCACAGCCAGCTACCCAGAGGGAGCAGGTAGTAGGACCTGTGGCCTCAGGACCATGGTTGCACGGGACATCAAGCTCAACTGGCATAGCATACTACATACACAAAAACATTGTTCCACATCCTATTTTGGTGAGTAGCCACTGGGATCTTAAAAGCTTGCAAGTGGCCATCCAGATGCAACGATGGGTCTCTCCTTGTCCAGAGCAGAGGAGAATGAAGAAAACCAGACACATGGAAACAATTCATCCAAGCAACTGGTATACCAAGTGATCCTCAGCCTATATGCCTATGAGACCAGAAGAACTAGATGGTGCTCAGCTACCACTGTCATCCACTTGGAAGGGGATCTATGTAGGAGATCCTGGATAGTCTGGGAAAACAATGTGGAACAAAACTCAAAATCAGGGAAAAAAAGAGACAGGTTTGCTCGTCTAATAGAGCCTGGTGGAACCACTGAGACTATGGCCCCTAGCTGCCCTTCAGGTCTGGAATTAAACCCACTCCTGTGCTTTCCAGCCAAACAAAAGACAGGCATATGAGCTGAACATTTATATTAGGTAGATACTTTCCTTGGAGAGATCAATCATGGGAGAATAGAAGGGCTGTGTATGCACAGGGAGACAGCTCGGGGGGCAGGAGTGCATGGGAGGGAAGGACACAGGTAAGCAGTAACTGCAGGGAGGAAGTGGGAAGAGAGCTGTGTATTGTGGGAAATTGCAGTCATTATCATGAGACAAAGTGTATGTGAACTGCTGTATGGAAAATGAATTTGTTCTGTAAACTTTCACCCAAATCATAATTAAAAAAAAAGAAAAACAAACAGAAATCAGCTGAAGTATTGCACTGGGCAAATCTTCTGCAAAAGACTTCTTCAAAATGTTAAAGATTTCATTTTGAAGACACACGTGCACTTAACCCAAACCATGGTATTTTCACTAGCCTCATATGCATGTGAAAGCAGGACAGTGAATAAGAAGACTGAAGAAGAATTGATGCATTTGAATTGTGGAGTTGGTGAAGAATACTGAAAATACCACACACTACCAAAAGAATGAACAAATGTGTCTTGAAGAAGTACAGCTAGAATGTTCCTTAGAAGCAAGAGTGGCCAGACATCATCTCACATATTTATATTTTGGTCATGTTGTCAGAAAGGACCAGTTCCTGGAGAAGGATATCATGCTTGGTACAGCAGAGGGTCAGTGAAAAAGGGGAAGACCCTCAATGAGATGAACTGACATAGTGGCTGCAACAATGGGCTCAAGCAAAGCAAGGATTGTGAGGATGACACAGGACTTAGGCAGCATTTTGTTCTGTTGTAGACAGGGTTGCTATGAGTTGGAGCCAACTCGAAAGCACCTAATGACAAAAACAGCAGCATAGTATTGTAAGTTCATAGAAAGATTCATCAGGGCTTCAATCAATTTTAGCTACTAAACTGCCATTTCAAATATATTCCTTTAGTTTTTTTAAATAAACTTTTCCTTTCAATGTATATTTATGCAAATTAAATTTAAGTAAAAATTAGTTTTCTAAAGGAATTTGTGTGTTGCTGTGCTAGTAATAGCAAAATAAGTAAAGATCTCACACTTTATGTATCTTAGAAAAACAAGTAAAAGCACACAAATATCATACAAAATATTTATTTCAATAAACCTCTCAACAAATTTGAAGCATGAGGTAAAATTGTAAGTCTTAGACTTTTTAAATAAGAGAAACAATTTTAATTTTGTTTGTTTAGGGGAAAGAATTACACTAAATAAAAATTCTCTAAAGTTGAAAAACAAATTTAGTATTATACATACCTTTTCATTTCTATCTTTTTGTAATCAAAGAAAGTCTATTAAGTATAAAATGTCAGTGCTTGCTTTTGAAAACTTGAAAGTATCTGAGCTCCATATGCTGATGAAATATGAGCAAAAACTTGAGACCAGAAGAACTAGATGGTGCCCGGCCACCACTGCCACCTACTCAGAAAGGGATCAAAATTGGAGTTCCTTGATAGAATGGGAGAAAAATGTAGAATAAAACTAAAAATGATTAAAAAAACAAAAACAAAAAACAAGGCTTATTGGTTTGACAGAAACTGGTGAAACCCCCGAGACTATAAGCCCCTAGTCCTGTGGTCTGGAATTGAACTCACACCCATGTGTGAGTTCAGCCAAACAATAGGTCTACGAGATAAACAATTACCCTAGGGAGTTATACTCCTCAGAACAATCAATCATGAGAGATCAGAAAGGAAGCATTTGTGCAGGGAGAAAGCTCAGAAGGAAGGAATGCATAAGAAAGATGGACACAAGGAAAAGGTAACCACAGGGAGGAAGTAGGAAGAGAACCAAGTGAGGATTGTGATAAATGTCATGAAATAAAATGTGCATGAACTACTGAATGAAAAACAAATTTTCTCTGTAAACTTTCACCCAAATTACAACAAAAAGTTAAAAAAAGAAGGCATTAATGGTGTAACCACTGAGACTATGGCCCCTAGCTGCCCTTCAGGTCTGGAATTGAACCCACAACTGTGGTTTCCAGCCAAACAAAGTACAGGCATGTGAGTTAAACATTTACCTCAAGTAGACACACGCCCTGGAGAGAACAATCATGGGAGAAGGAAGGGCTGCTTATGCACAGGGAGATAGCTCAGGGTGCAGAAGAGTATGAAGGGATGGACACTGGGAGGAAGTAACTATGGGGAGGAAGTGGGAGGGGAGCTGCTGCATTGTAAATTTTGGTCAATGACATGAGACAAAGTATATGTGAACTGCTGTATGAAAAGTGAATTTACTCTGTAAATCTTCACCCAAATCCTAATAAAAAAAAAAAAAAAAGAAGGCATTAAATACCAAAGATTATTACTAATTCATACTATAATTTGAGCTAAGAATCTTACCAGATATGTAGCGACTAGGGTTACTTCTGAAGCGATCATCCACTAGAATAAGAGCTCCCCAATCATTTTTGTGCCGAATACACCTTCAAGAAAATAGGAGAAATTAATTAAATGTAACATTGGAATAAAAAAGCCAAATTTATAGTTGCCCAGACAGAAAACTTAGAAAATCAATTATCTGTCAGTTATACATTCCTATAATCAAAGTTTTTAGTATGAGGAGGATTACAGAAGCTAGTCAATACAATGTACCAAGGTAAATTTACAATAAATGTTCTACTTCTGCCAACTACTGAAAATATATACACATATATATGTATGGATATATGTGTATGTTAAATGACTATCATTTTGAAAGTAAAAAAAAAAAAAATTATGAAAAATATTTCCAAAGACCTTCTTTCTAAGCCACAGACTATTTCTTCATCTTAACTATTAGCTGTAGGCTTTATGTAGCTACCTTTTATTCCTAGTATACTGAAAGGTTTTTTTTTTATCACAAATAAACAGAATTTTGTCAAAATCTTTTTTTGCATTGATTGATATGAGCACATAGTTTTTCTTCTCTTTGCTTTCTTAGGATAAAACATGCCAGGTCATGATACGTTATTCTTTTTATAGATTGATGGATTCAATAAACTAATATTTTAGCAAATACTTCCATTTCAAAATGGTCATTATTAAAAAGTTTAAGTGTACAATTCAGTGGGTTTTATTTTATTTACAAGGATGTATAAACTATACTAATTCAAGAACATATTTATCACCCCTTAAAAAACCCCATATCTATTAGAAATCTCTTCCCATTAATTCCTCCTCACAACCACTAATCTACTGTCTGTCTCTATAGATTTAATTCTGACATTTCATATAAATAGAATCATACATGAAGACTATTGTGTCTGCCTTTTTTCACTTAGTATGTTTTTAAGGTTCACCTATATAGTATCAGTACTTCATCTTTTTATATGGCTGAATATTATTCCATTATGTGGATAACATTTTATTTATTCACAAGTTGATAGGCATTTGGGTTGTTTTCACTTAACTGCCAATTTCAAATAATGTTGCTGTGTATTTATGTAAAAGTTTTTGTGTGAACACATATTTTCACATATAGGGTATATACCTAGGGGGTACAATCCCTATACTAACTAGATGTTTACCTTTTTGAGGAACTGGCCCAAATATCCTCCAAAGCAGTTGCACAATTATAGTCCCATTAGCTATGTATGAGGGTTCCAATGTCTTCACACTCTCCATAACACTTGTTGTTATTGTCATTTTTATTATATCTAGCCTAGGCAGTGTGAAGAGACTCTGGGTAATGCAAACGGTTAACACATTTGGCTACTAACCAAAAGGTTAAAGGTCTGAATCTACCCAGAGGGACTTCAGAAGAAAAACTGGGTGATTTACTTCCAAAAAATCAGCCATTCAAACTCTTAATCCTTCTAGTGACAAATGAAAGATAGTCAGTCATCAATCAGAGCCAATTTAGTAGCAATTGGATTCTGGTGTATATGTACCTATTTTCTTTCTTCCCCCCTTTTTTTTTTTTTTTTAACTTTTATTGTGGTGAAAACATATACAACAAGACATTTGCCAACATAACAATTTCCCCATTTACAGCTCAGGGACAATGATGACATTTTTCATATTGTGACACCATTATTGCTATCCTTTTCCAAAATATTCCAGCACTATTAGCATAAACTCAATGCTCCACAAACAAATGCTTCCCCTTTGCCTTCCCCTCCTATCTTGGTAACCAACAAAGTAAGTTTCCTTCCACATATAAACCTTTCCTTGACTTTTTACAATAACAGACTAATACAATATTTGTCCTTCTGTGACTGACTTACTTCACTCACCATAATGTCCTCTGAGTTCATCCACGTTATGTGGGGTTTTGCAAATTCTACATTATTCTTTAGGGTTGAATAGTATGCCATTGTGTGTATGTACCACAGTTTGTTTATCCATTCCTCGGTTGATAAGCACTTAGGCTGTTTTCATCTCTTTACTATTGTGAATAGTGCTGCAATGAACATGAGTGTGCATATATCTATTCATGTCCCAGCTCTCACTTCTTCAGCACATATACCTAGTAATGGGATTACTGGATCAAATGGTATTTCTATTCCCTACTTTTTAAGGAATCACCATGCCGATTACCACAGTGTTTGTATCATTTTACAGTCCCACCAGCAGTGTTTGAGAGTCCCAATCTCTCTGTATCCTTCCTAGCATTTATTTTCTATCTTGTTCTTGTTGAATTTTGCTATTAATGCTGCGGTGAGAGGGTACTTCATGGTTGTTTTGATTTGCATCTCTCTAATGGCTAATGATTGCAAACATTTCTTCATGTGTTTGTTGGCTGCCTGAGTATATTCTTTGGTGAAGTGTCTGTTCATGTCTTCTGCCCATTTTTTAATTGGATTGTTTGTCTTTTTGTTGTTGAGGTGTTGCAGTTTTCTATAAATTTTAGAGGTAAGTCCTTTGTCTGATACATCACTGCTGAATATTTTTTCCCATTCTGTAGGTACTCTTTTTATTCTTTTGGAGAAATGTTTTGATGCACATAAGAATTTATTTTTTAGAAGAAATCATCTGGTTTGTCTCCTGCTGTTTGTGCAACTTGGATTAAGCTTGATAGTTTATTTATGCCATAAATTAGGGCCCCTAACTTTACCCCTATTTTTTTTTCATTGATGAACTTTATAGTTTTAGGTTTCATATTTAAGTCTTTGATCTATCTGGAAATAGTTTTTGTGTATGGTGTGAAGTATGGATCTTGTCTCATTTTTCTATAAATGGACATCCAGTTCTGGTGGCATAGTGCCTAAGTCATTTGACTGCTAACCAGAAGGCTGGCGGTTCAAATCCACCAGCCATTTCCTCGGAAGGAAGATTGGGCAATCTACTTCTGTAGTGATATCACCTCAGAAACCCAAGGAGGGGTCGCTATGCGTCGGATCCAACTCGACAGCAGTGAGTTTTTAGTTAGTTTGTGAAAGAGACTATCTCTTCCCCCATAGAATGTATTTCCTCACTGAATGGTTTCTGATTGCTTTGGTGCAGAGGGTCTGTGTAGATCATCTGCCTATTCTGCCATCTTGCCGGAACTCTATTCTTGTTATTTTCCTTTCTTCTGATAATAGCCATTCTAGTGGGTATGAAGTACCATTGTGGTTTTGATTTGCATTTTCCTGATGACTAACTACACTGAGCATCTTATGTTGTTGTTGTTAGGTGCCATGGAGCTGGCTCTGACTCATAGTGACCTTGTTGTTGTTGTTGTTGTGTACCGTCGAGTCACACCTGACTCATAGTGACCCCTCCTTGGGTTTCTGAGGCAGTATCACTACGGAAGTAGGATTGCCCAACCTTCCTTCCGAGGAGTGGCTGGTGGGTTTGAACCACCAGCCTTCTGGTTAGCAGTCAAGTGCCTTAGCCACTATAGTGACCCTACGTACAAAAGAATGAAACACTGCCCGGTTGCGCACCATCCTCACAATCCTTGCTATACTTGGGCCCATTGTTGTAGACACTGTGTCAAACTGTCTTGTTGAGGGCCTTCCCCTTTTTTACTGATGCTCCACTTTACCAAGCATGATATCCTTCTCCAGGGAATGATTCCTTCTGACAGCATGACCAAAGTAGGTGTGATGAAGTCTAGCCATTCTCACTTCTGAGGAGTATTCTGGCTGCACTCCTTCCAGGACAGATTTGTTCATTCTTCTAGCAGTCCATGGTATTTTCAGTATTCTTCACTAACACCATAATTCAAAGATACCAACTCTTCTTTGGTCTTCTTTATTCACTGTCCAGCTTTCACATACATATGAAGTGACTGAAAAGGCCAAGGCTTGGGTTAGGCACACCTTAGTCTTCAAAGTAACTTCTTTGCTTCTTAACACTTTAAAGAGGTCGTTTCTAGCACTTTTTTTTATCGTATTATTGTGGCCTGCGTGTTGCCATGAGGCTTGAGGCTGTGCCACCGGTGTTTCAAGTGGCGGTAGGGTTTCACAGGGTACACAGGTTTCAATGCAGCTTACAGACTGAGACAGACTAGGAAGAAGGAAGAGGCCATCCACTCCTCAAAGAATTGTCCAGGGAAAACCTTATGAATAGCAGAGAAACACTGTCTGATACATTACTGTGCAACTTTATGCATAGGTTGGAAACATTATCTGATACAGGGCAGGAAGATGAGCCCCTTAGGTCAGAAGGCTTTCAAATTATGACTAGAAAAGAGCTGCATCATCAACCTTACTGATATGGATAGAGTAAAGCTTTCAAGACCTCCATTTTCTGACGTAGCATGACTCAAATTGAGGAAAAACAGTTGCAAACATCCATTAATAATGAGAACATGGCATGTTCAAAGTATGAATCTAGGAAAGTTGGAAGTTGTCAAAAATGAGATGGAATGCATAAAGACTGATATCCTAGACATTAGCGAGCTGAAATGGACCGGTTTGGGCTATTTTGAATCAGACAAACATTTGATCGACTACGCTGGGAATGACAATTTAAAGAGGAATGGCATGGCATTCATCATCACAAAGGATGTTTCAAGATCTGTCTTGAAGTACAATGCTGTCAGTGATAAGATAATATCCATGCGCCTACAAGGAAGACCAGTTAATATGACTATTATTCAAATTTATGCACGAACCACAAAAACCAAAGATGAGGAAATTGAAGATTTTTATCAACTTATGCAGTCTGAAATTGACCAAACGTGCAAATGTGTTAATAGTCACTGGTGACTGGAATGCAAAAGTTGAAAACAAAGAGGAATCACTGGTAGTTGGAAAATTTGCCCTTGGTGACAGAAATGGTGCTGGAGATCGCATGATAGTGGAGATCGCATAACAGAATTTTGCAAGACCCATGACTTATTCATTGTAAATACCTTCCTTCAACAACACAAACAGCAGCTATACATGTGGATTTCACCAGATGGAGTACACAGGAATCAAATCAACTACTTCTACTGAAAGAGGTGATGGAAAACTTCAATATCTTCAGCCAAAACAAGGCTAGGAGCTGACTGTGGAACAGACCATCAACT